GTATTTAGTCTCACCTGTTGTCTGTGTTCTTCGTCGGGTCCTTGTCGTATGTCTCAGTTTGTCGTATGGACAAACGGATGTATTATGCCGTCTACGCTCTCTCCAGTGGAACTGCTAGTCCTGGTTAGAGTTTGCTCACATGCTAGTTCTATTAGTTAGTTGCTACCGGCATCTTAGCTGTGCGCTTGTCTCCTGCCTTGCTGCCTGACTCAGACTGTTGTATGAGCTTCTTCATCATTAAATCATCATCTTCTCACCATAACCTGGGTCTCGGCGTCTCTCCTCCTCACCGAACCACCACACATCATGACAGATAAAGCAATGATTGAACCAAAAATGAATCTTAAAGGGGACAATAATCTTTTTAAAGTAACAAAACTACAATAGAGTTTTTGTTTGGTTTGTAGATGTGAAGACAACCTAAAAGCTCAACATCATTTCTTTCTGTTTGCCTCAGGCCAGCCGTCAGCAGACTGACAATAAACTGTGGCAGAAAGAACAAGAAGTGAATTTGATCACTGAGAAACTGAAGAAAATGACTGAGGAGCAGCAGAGCCTGGTTGGTCCTTTTCCTTCTGTTGTTAAATGAACAAACGGCTCTTAAAACCGTATAGAAAACAATTAGGCTTTAACTATAAGAACGTTTTCTGCTTCCGGTGGTGCAGCTACAAGAATCCAAGCGCGAAGCCGAGTCTCTGATCAAGGAGAAGAAGGACTTAGAGAAAAAGCTGACTGAAGTTAAGAAAGACGACAACAAGGAGGTAAAAGTCACTTTGTTCTGTTTCAAATCACTGATTCTGGTCCTTGAAGCGTAAAAACGGACAGAAACTGAACGTTTTACTCTGCTGTTTCTGTTCCATCAGTCTGAAGCTGACGTCCTGCAGCAGCTGAAGGCTGAACAGCAAAAGAGGGAAGACGCTGAAAAATCCCTGCAGGAGCTGAAAACAGAGCTGGACAGCAAAAACCAAAAGGTTTTATGTTTTCACCAAACTCAAGGCTTTTTGATGCACACAAGCAAACTTCCTAATCTACAGAGATAAAACTCTTAATGGCAGGAAGTTGTCTAAGTTTTATGTTTTCTGAAAGTATGTTACCTCCATTTTTCATTCTCTTAGCTGAAGGTTTTTTCAGAAAAGGTTGAAAATCTCCATGAGATGCTGAGGAAGACAGAAGAGTCCCAGCAGGTGTTGATGAAGGAGCTGCAGAACCATAACAACGAGGTACAACCTCTTCTTATAGCTTTTACAATAACGTTTCATAGTCTCTGCAGACTAAACTCAAAATTAAAATGATATTTATCAGAGCTGCATGAGTCCAGTTTGTTGTTTTATTTCCAAAGTGCAGGTAAAGAACCTGTTGCTACATCATGTTTCAGTTATAAGAGAAAAAAATCAGCATATTTATGTGGCGCCAATTCAGAAGAAAACTTGTCTTGAAGCAATTTACAAACCCTGACAGTGGAGAGGAAAAACTCATTTAAGTTTCTGTAGAAGAAAAGTAAAAAGTGAATGTCAGTAGTTTCTCCTTCTGGGAGAGAAACACATTTAAACAGCTCAGATCAGTGTTTAAATCTAAAACATAAAATAGATCAATTCAAGCTTTACGAGCAGAAACTTTTAAGGGAACAGCAAAATAAAAATAATTCTAATGACATTAAAAGTTGTTTTTCAGGTATCAATATGTGAAGGTCTATTAGGAAAAGTTATTTTTGTGCTGAAATCAACATCCATCCCTCTGTCTGATGGCAGCAGCAGAAAAACCCTGAAGAATCTGCAGCCGAGGAGCCAAACCTGGACAGCATGATGTCAGAGATGACGGAGCTGCACAACGAGGCAAAACATGTTCATGTCTTTATATTCTGTTGAAACTACATATTTCAGAAGATTTGTTCAAATTGTCACTAAGATCCTCACAAATTAGGAGGGTTAGCGTCTCATCACATTTAACATTTTAACATTTTTATTTCACAAGCACATTTTCTCCAAAAGAAATATATGAGCCAAAAACTATTTATTCACCAATTAATGAAGAAACGCCTGGTAATTGTTGTCATAAAGAAGGAATGATACGTTTCTTCTTTCATAACGTTTTTATCTGTGACCATTATATGAAATGTTCCCTCCACTAGAGGGAGCTATTCTTCCTACAATAGTTGAGGTCAATGAAAAACAGATTTATTCCAACAACTGATATTTAAAATAAATTATATGACTTAGATTTATATTTTCTGATTCTTGTTTTATATTTTTATGCTTTTCTGCATCTTGTTTCCCAGCTGGAAGTCGCCCAGGCTCAGTCTGAGGCTCTGACAGAAAACAACCAGCAGCTGGAGGCTCAGCTGGCTGACCTGAAGCAGAGATACAACCAGGAGGTGAGACAGGAATGCTGCAGCTCCCTCAGCTTCATGCTGTCACAGCTGATGATAAATTAAATGTCTCACTTCATTACAGTTTAAAACGATAATCACAGAGGAGCGAGAGTGGAGGGAGGAGCTTGACAGAGACCTGGAGGGTCTGAGGAAGGAATATGAAAACAAGAAGAACGAGGTTTGCTTCGGTTTCAGAACGATTCTCTACACTAGATCGTTTTAAATGACCAAGTCAGTGAATCTACATCATTTTTCCTTCTCCAGCTGAAAACAATCCAAAAAGAAGCAGATTCTAAAACCTCTGAAGACGATTCAGCATCGGCAGAGGAAGAGGAAATCTATGTGGAGGATTGATAAAACTATATATTCAATAGTATTTTAGATAAACTGAACTTCACCAGTTAGTTATTAAAAACTCTGAAACTGGTATTTTTAATACCAGTTAATTTAATCATATTATTTAATTAGGTGATGGTGTGATACATTGAGTTTCTTTTGTTGTATATATTTTAGCCAAACAAAGTTATCAGAAACTGTGTAAATGTAATTATTTTGACACAATATTTATTATCTTTTGTTATCTAGAAGACACAAATCTGGTTTGGATCATTTTACTTAAATTTAAAGTTTCCAGTTGTGTTTCATGCTACAACAAAATGTCTTTGTTGTCAAATAAAAATGTACTTTAGTTTTTTCTGACAGTGTGAACATTTAAATCAGTGCAATGCAGAGTTTAACAAACCTAAACATTTGTAAAGCAACCAATCAAAGCTGTGCATTATTTTTCTTGTCCAAAGTGGTGCAAACATGGTTTCCACTGCACTTATTTACAAGTGTTACGGTAAATTTGTTGCCTGAACTGTCAAAATAAATAGTTTCACATGTTTTTAGAGTGGTGCTCGAATGTTCATGAGCGGCTGTGGTGCAGAATCTTCACCAACACTGTGAGTCAAACTGCATTTACCGTTTATCAGATCAAACTGTTTGTTTCTTCCAACCTCTTCAGAACATCCTGTTGGTCTGAGCAGAACCACAGACACACCAGACGTCCACACGCTGATGAACAAAACAAGACATTTCACCATCGCTGCTGTTCTTAACGTATGATGCAACTGAGGATGCACATTTATCTGCAGCACAGAGTATATGTTGGCTTGACATAAAACCAATTAGTTGGGAAATAAGCTGACCGCTGTGCCTGCAGAATAATTTCACGGCCACGACACCTTGGTGGTTTCTCAACAGACTGAGTGACGTCACTCAGAACAATGACACATTTATGATGACGACAGGAAGCCCAGCGTTTCCAGGAACAGACTGCTGATTCAGCATCCTGCTTCAGATCATCAGAACCAGAGCAGAAAAAAACAATATTTCTTCTTTTACACTGACAGATCAACATTTTGTTCCTTCTCACTGCAAAGAAGGAAAAGTGACTTTTCAACTAAGGTCTTTCAATAGTCGTCCATATTTCCTACCTGGCAGCTATTGGTGCATGAATACGGACATTAACAAGTCAATAATTAAGGAAACTTTCAGGAAACTTTCAGGTCAGTTAAGCAGCACATAGGACTGGATAAAAGATCAATTATGACCGTTGTGGGTTGTGCTGGGTAATCATATTTATATTGAATATAGTGGAGTGATTTAGTACATAAACCTTGTCTTTCTGCTAACGTTTTAAAAAAACCTCAATTTCACAATAAAAACAAGTAATATTTAATTTTTTTCAATAAAAATATTGATCTCTAGATTAAGGATGTTACTGATTGAACAATGATTCAGTTGTCAGTTTCTTGTGCTACATATAAACGAACAGAAAATCCTTATTCACAGTAAAATCATGCAGAACTTTGAACTAAAGCATCATAGTTATACCATCAAACATGTTCAAACTTGAACAAACTGCTTATATCTTAAACTGTAATCTGTTCAGTCTTTTGTATTAATTATAGTCGTTGGCAGGTGAGAGGGCCACACTTTTATTCTGTAGAGATGGAAATATTTGCTGTTTGGTCCTGAACTCTCTGTAGGCTTTATAAGTCCGAACTCCTGCAGAAGCGAAGGCGGGTCTGGGGACGGGTCTGGGGACGGGTCTGTACACGACCACAGTGGACGTCTCAGAGCAGCGCCCCCTCTGGAGATCATCTGAAACTAAAATACTCATTTTCAACATTTTTGTTTAATTTTCTTGTGTAAATTTGGCTTTTTTTCTCTCAGTCTTAAGAATGACTTAAAATAAACTTTAAAACATCTTATTTTCTTAAAAAATATTTGTATTTTGAATAAAAATCTTCAACTGAAAGAGCATCCAGTTGGAACCAAATCAAAGCCACGGTTCAAGCTTACCTTTTGCTCTTTGCGTTCGTCTGTTGATTCCTCCAGTGTACAACACAGTGGAAGAGTCATAACTGTCTGTATAACAGAAAAGGTTTGATTTTTAACCACATTTAGCTACAGCTTGAAATGTGATGTATAATTTAATGTTGAGTCCAGCCTAACATGGATAGTTTTCATGTTTCACAGGGTAAAAGTAAGCGATGTCTGACCTGGATGGTTTCTCCATAGACAGAGAAACATCAGTAGAAAGAGTGAAACTCCAGTGACCATCACAGGAAGTACGATGTCTCCATGCAGAGAAGGCGGCGATTCAGGAAATCCTGCTTAAGAGCAGAAAACCACAGGTTAGAGACGAAGTAGCACAGAAAAGACTGGCTGCAGTTTCATCCCCCAGACAACAGTCAACACTGTCAGCCAGAAATAACTTCATAAATCTATGTGCATGAAAGTACAGCTTCAAATCAATCCCAACTCAGTTATATGAGCCTGTTAGGGAAAAATATTATTCATAAAACAATAAAATGAAGCATTTTAGGTTTTTTAACAACCAATTTATGATGTCCGCCCATACGGAGGTCAACCAGTTTCTAACTCACCTCCAATCATATTAGTCTTTCCAGGTGGTTTATATTTTCTTACTGCTTATGAAATTTATGACAACAATATCCTGTCAGTTTGAAACATGGTGAATCGACTTACCTTAAGCTGCCTGCCATCGTTTATTGACCATCGTTACTCATTTTACAGCAAAAATAAACTCAAGTACAACAACCCTCTGTTGAAATGCCAAAGACCAATCTGGACCAAAGTGGAGCCATTTTACATACAGAAACTTTAATTTTTTAGATTTCCTGAGTGCTGATTGGGAGCTGAAGACTTCAACTCCCTGCACTGGTAAGATCTGGATAACAGACATGAACATCATCTGGAGTTATCCTGGAAGAACCGTTCATTATCTATAATCAGTGTTCAGTTTAACGGTAGAAAGTTCATATCTATGTTTTATGGCACAATGTTTCTTCCTGGTTGGGTATGAAATTCTTTGGATTATCCTCCACATTTTCTTTTTTAGAAAAAATGTTAGTCTGGGTAATAACAGAGAGTTCAGTTATTACCATCTCCTCTCTAAAAATCCCAACTTAACACAAACCTTCACATCTTTGTTTCCACTCAGTGACATGCAGAGTAAATGCATGTTTCGTGTTTTTTATCTAGATTATTCCTGTCCCAACACTCGATATGATGTTTTGAACCCACTAACCTCTGACAGTCAGAAAACTGTCTGGTGATTCTCCAACTCCAGACATGTGGCACCTGTAGTTTCCTTCGTCGTATTTAGAAACCCTCTGTAGAGTTATGCTTCCTCTCACGCTGCTCCCAATGAAAAGCTCGTCTTTATAAAAGGTAGATGAATTATTTCCAGATAATTTTTCCCTCGTTCTGCATCGCAGAACCACTTCGTCTCCTTCCATCACTGGGAGAGCTGGGATCTCCAGGATCAACTCGCCGCCTGAATAAAAACAAATCTCTCTCATTTGTGGATTCCTCTACAAAAATCTGAGAAGGTTAAACGGATCCAAATATTTATCATCAACAAGAGAATGAAGTGTTTAATGTTTTACCAGTGACGGTGATGCTGATGGTGTTGCTGATCTTCCCAGCCTCAGATTCACACCAGTAAACTCCAGAATCCACTTCATAAAGCTCACTTAGGAAGCAAGTAGATTCGTTCCTGTCAGTCGTATATGAAGGACAAAGTGAACTGATTTGCTTGGATGTGTTCCTTTTTATTGTCCAGACAGCTGCGTCTTCCTGCTGGTCGCAGTTCAGGCTGAAGGCGACAGATTCATACTGGAAGAACTGCGATCTGTCGGGAAGGACCTGGAACGAAGCTGCAGAGGGAAGCAGCCAGTGAATGAAGAGCTGCATGGAGATGCAGTGAGGAAAAACCTTCACCAACAAACATGCAACCAGATTTTTAAACTGTTTAACTTACCAAAAACAGCGCACAGTGTTGTGATCTCCATATTGACTGAACGGAGGTCTGAGCACTGACTGTTTTCACTGCAACCACTTCCTGTTTCAGTGTTTAGACGATGTGCAAACGTGGCCCCACAGACCACAGGACGTTAAATACGTCTAAAAATTAAATTTGAATTAAGTCAACCTGCTCTGATGGACTTTTTTGCTACTTAACAGAACCATGTCGAAACTGAAGTCTGCGTTATAAATGTGATGTGACCATTAAATGTGAGATGTTGTCATTTTCACTAACATGACCACTAGGCTGCAGCGTGTTCCAATCATCTCACCAAAGCTGCAGGCCTTTCTGCTTAATTCTTACTTTTTGTTAGGTCAGTTTTCTTTTTTTTTTTTATTTGCGTCGTCATTCACGTTTCCAAATATATGTGACTTGTATGCATCTCCTGGATGGACTGCAAACAACTAAAAGATCACAATTGTTTGTTTTCTGCTTGTTTCTGCATCTGAGTGTCACATGACATCTGAGCTCCAATAGCTGGAGCTCAACCAGTCACCTTTTACAGACTTTGTTTTGAAAATAAGGTCAATTTGTCTGGATGAACTGATATACTGTGTTAACATGTTTCCATCCTGAATATGGAAACATGTCACAGAAAAGGTTTATGAATTTTGATGCATCTGTCATATTTTATTTTTTCAAAATAATTTATTGAGATAAAGAGGTTGGGATTAAAATTATATTTTCTATAGGAATGTATAAATGATAGTATAAATATTAAACAAATTAGTGAAGAAATACCCTTCATTTTGAACAGTTACAAGATGTCAAATATTTACAAGAATTAAAAAGAAACAAAGCAAACATTCTACTCTTATATAAGTGAAATATTTTTAAGTCATACATTTATTTGACCACTGAATATCATTCAACATCATTGTTCCAGCTAAATAGATCTATCAAAGATTACAATTCTGTTTTCATCTGATGCAGTGATGAATATTTAACAGCCCAACTGACCTAACAAACAAATAAACCACTAGAGTTTGATGGATGTTCAATTGCCAACTAAAGAAACAAAACAAAAATAACGATTAAAATATCAAGAAATCCAAACTTGCAAGACAAATCTTAAAATACAAAACCACTTAATTAATCATCGCATAGAGTCTCTGTTTAACTCTGACATTAATGTAAAAGCTGAAAACACTTAAAACAAAACAATGTCTGCAGCCCATAATGCAGTGGTGCAATTAAAATACTCCATAAGTTTTAAATGTGTCTGAGTGCAGCAGCGCGGCTCCCTGGAGGTGCTGAGTTTCTGCAGAAAAGCCCCAGAGAAACTCAAAGCGATGCATCATCAGCGCACTCAGCTACAGCAAGTACTATACCGCAGCATAACTGACAACATTCACAATAACACTCAAAAAATGTTGCCCAAGAATGACTGAGACCTGAAAAAGAAATAAATATGCATTATCAACTTAATCATGTTCTTTCAAAAACATTCATCTTTTAAAAACTTTAATTTCTAAAAGATGCAAAGATGACTATAAATTTATTCTGATCTATAAATTAGGTTTAGCATAAATTAATTATTAACTTGTGATGTTGTCCCTTTTTTCCTCTATTGAGTATTGTTAATATTTTACCAGTAAAATACATATTTTTCTTTTTTCAAACATACCTGCCATAACAGCACAAGGAACGGTGACTATAAGTGCAACAACAACGACGCCGACAATGATGCCGATCATTTGCCCACGTGAAATATTTGCTCCTGAAAAAAGAGGAAAATTTCACACAAACACACAAAACTGAAGTTTTTATACATTCAGCTGAAGCGTCGCACAGAACACATGTTGTTACAAAAGGCATTAAAATGTTCAAATTACCATCAAGAATGACTGAATGGTTAGAAATTTGTAGGACCATGTTTTTGTTTCTTCAAAATTTCTAAGTATAGATACAAGAAAAGCAGCTTTGCATTGTGATGAGAGAAGACATTTGTATGAATCTGTTTTATCAGAATGTAGTGTAATTAAATTAAAATCATCTTGTACAAACAGCAAAACGTGAGCATTACCTGTTGTGGTGTTATGAGAAGCCAGTTTGGTGTTTGTCTGCGTTTGATTTGTTTGTCTTTGTGCATCTTCATAATATTGACTGGAATATCCTTGAGCTGGTGCAGATTGAACTGGAGCAGAAAAACATGATCTTTATACATGCAGGGCTGAGGAAATGACCTTAAAGTCAGACTTTAGCTTAGCATAATGAAGAGAAGGAAGCTGTTAGTATGGAAATGTTTCTTTTGTAACACAATACTGAAAAATATTTTGGTAATAGTTTGTTATCTATGATGATGGTGATGGGAAATGCAGACAGGATGTGCAGAAGCAGCAAACAGAGTTCTGGGTTCCTGGGATTCAGACAGGAACCGTTCCTCTTGCTCAGCTTGTTGGGTGGCTCGGCTCACTTCCTCTGTTTGAGTTTTCCCATCATACAGTTTTAAATGTGTCACTAACTGCTCTTTTTCTGCTACAATTATTGTTAAAAGTCTCTAAAACTTGTTTCTCCCCTGAAACGTAATCATGGTGCCGTCCTCTGCATCATCTGGAAACTAAAACTGCAACGCCATTTCAGTCAGTTGTTGTTGACAGTCTGTTATTCTTGGTCTGAACTTTCATCATATTGACATAAGCAAAAGTTAAACTATTATGTTTAAACTAAACTGTTTTAGAATCATAAAAGACTTACCTGTAGAGGCTGCAAGAGCAAGAAGAGCAACAAAGATTCCCACTGAAGTTTCCATTGCGGTGAAAGGAATGAAGGTTGCTTTCTGTTTTTGCTCTCTTGTCAGGTTTAAATTACCCAGAAAACCCTGGAATGTTTTCAGATCCTCTGATGGTATCTAGAGATTGTGATTCTTTAACTTGGTGTCAACCGACAGGATCTGTCTTAACGTTGACACCAGATAACCGTATCTTCTCCTTTCACTTTCTATCAGGGCTTGGTTGTTGCAATTGGCAGTTGAGGACAGAGATAGAGGCAGATAAGGTTTAATCCAGCCCACAATTTTTTTCCAGCTTGCTACATTTTTTATTGTAATTCTTTTTTCTCAGTTTTTCTTTTTTGCTCTGATAAAATCACAAATCAGCACAATGTTATTGATTAAAATATCATAAAGCCATTAAAATAAGCTTATGCAATATAATTGTCATGCTTGTACAATATATTTTTTGTTGGTACAATATAAATTTAACATGATTGTATTCAAAAACACATTAACCTGAGTGACAGCAAAGCTCTACTTGTAAATTTGGAACATTTTTTCCAACTTTGACCCCAAAAAGTGGTAACAGTTTATTTAGTTTTTCTGTTTATGTTTTGATAAATCAGCCGCCACATAGTTCCAACCAAGCCAAACTTAAACATTATATTTTGTAAAATATTGAGCAAATTAAATGGAGACAGTCTAACCTTTTTACTAGAGGAAAAGCTGAGTAATTTATTGTTAAACTCAGTAGATAATCTTAGCACATATCACATTACATCAGGATTTATTGTTTAAATCTGAAGTGGCTTTAGGGTCGGCAGGAGAGGATTTGCTGCAGCAGCGCGGACCTAAAGCAAAAAGGAATAAGACCATCAACAAACCACAAACAACAATAATTTAATCATAATGATGACATTTTGATGTACTTGGATTTCTCAGTAATCATTATGCAGGAAAAAGATGATTAACTTTAAGAATGTTCATTAAAAAGCTGTAAATATATGAATGAACAAGACCAGTTTTACTGATATTCTCACATGATGCATCTTGAAGTAAAACATATTTTACTACATAGGAAATTAAAATTTTAAAACTCATCAATTTGCTTGTTATCCAAGTTGTGTTTCTACCTGCACAGCCAATGAGGAAGATGATAACTGCGACTCCCAGTGAAACTGCACTGATGATGAGCCGAGACTTCAGGTCAAGATCTACGAAAAACACAGGTTGAAGAAACAGACAGTGTTTTTAATAAACCACAAGAAAAGTAGTGACTAGGTAACAAACTGGGATGGTCCCACTTTTTATGCCTGGCTTAACTAAAACCTAAAACTGCACACTTAAAGAAATAAGCACATGCAAGTTTTCTGCTGAGATTAAACTAAAAATATTTTCATATATACAAAACAGAAAACATTACATCCAGTAACTATCAAGAAACTGCAAGCTTTCATTTTAATAAGAAAATATTCAAGATATAAAAAAAATTAACCTACTTTTGTACTAAATGAGAAAAATATTGTCTCTTTATCTTGCTGATTTTCACTCCTGTGCTTTTTCAAATCTAACATTTTTTTGCCAATAGCACCTTTAGAAATAAGTTTACTGTGAACAATTATCACATGTTAAATGCTTATTTTATCCACTGTACATCAGAACAAAATGACGTTTTGAAGCTGTTTTAATTTCCTCTAAGTTAAAATGTTACTTCTTGCAGAGCTGTAGTGATAGTAGCTCGGTCTCCACAGTCTGTCACTCTGGGTCCCATTAAGGTCTCCAAACATTTCTGCCACAGGTTGGCTGGTGACATTTTGTGCCATTGTTGATGGAGCTGGTGAAGCAAAAAGATATAAAAATACAGACAGAGGCATATCGTTCAAAACAGAAAGCAGTGAGCAAATTTCACACATTAATAAAATAGCATTCAGCATCTCTCAATAAATTTTAGCTTATTTGTTTACTTTCAAAATCCACCTATGTATAATTTAATGTAATTTAATGCATTGTACATTAAATTGTGTATAATAATTTACCTCAGATTCACAGATGGTCTCTGAAAACCTCAGAGGTTTATCAGAGAACATCTGTGAGTAAATTACATCTCAAAACAAACTTCTGCCTTTGATGATTGAAAATACAGGCGTTGTGTTCATTTAAAGCACTCAGATCTGATTTAGAATATGTGAGAAAGTGACTTACCAGCAGAGGCTGCATGAGCAAAAAGAACAACAAAGATTCCCATTGATAAATTCATTGTCTGCAGTCGGTGCTCAAAGTAAAGATGATATGAAATCTAATCTTCTTTTTAATGCCAGTGAGACACAAAGTAGTCGCCTTTATTATATGACAAAGGACATCAGGTGGTTTTTAACTGGATAATCTAACAGAGAAGCATTAACTTCACTTTCGAGTTTTATTCCGTATTTGTATATTGTGTCATTTTGGGAAAAGGTTCAGTTTTACAGTTTAAGTTCCTCATTGACTTTATATTTGTTAAGCATTTGTGTTATAATGGCAGTTATAACTGAGGAAATTAATCATAATGAGCTTCATTCAACAGGTTGATGTGCACGCAAACTAGAAATGACTTTGGTTCCACTTTATGCTCAATAAAAACATTTAGAACATAAATATACTAAAAATAAGAAAGAAAAGGCAATAAAAAGGCTTTTATTATTATTTTTATTTAATTAACATACTGATGGAAGAATTTCATTTTATCAACATTCTCTAACCATGTTTTATTAGTCATTAGGCCTTTACTTGTTTTTGGTATAGACTCATTTAAACTATGATCATCACCATCGTAATGATTTGGTCCAAATACCAACTCATCCAGATGGAGTCTGTCAGACTTTCTGAAACAAACATTGATCCATTCAACAAATTTAAATACATTTAAATACATTTATTTAAATGTGTTGAATTAATCAGTTAAATGTGTGTTTGCTCCATCAGTCTAAAGGCTTGCAAACACCCCACCTACGCTGAGAAGATGCTTCCTAAGACAGAAAACAGATTTCACCCAACATGCAGGTTTACAAAATATTTATTCTATTTCTGAGTTTTCTAACAACTTTGTTAAACTTCAGAGGCAGATTTAAAGAAGGCGCTGCCGAATTTATCTACCTAATGTTATTATTTTATCATCAGTAAAACTGATTGTTTCACAATTAGTTTTACTACTAATAATTTTTTACTAATAAAATAATATTACTAGTTTTACTATTGTTGCTGTAAAACTAATTGTCAGTTGGAAAATAAAGATCCGATTCTGAAAACGATTCAATTACAGCTCAGTTTTTATTTGTTCTTCCTTTAACACTTTGTGATTAATCACCATTAGCAAGGAAAGCTTCACAGATTTCACAGGAAACTTCAATGCAGATTTTACAGCAGCACTTAGTGGAACCTGAAGGAAACACGAAATAAAATGGCAATTATCTTTTTAAATGCATCATGACAACAGTGTATTTTATTGGGCCTTTAAAAGTGTAAGCAGATCACTCACTCACTTAAGAAGTTTTATTGCCTGACTTCCTCTCCTTGAGCTTTTCCACCAAACACTTCTTGAATGTGTCATTGACTTCTCTTTTTGGAACAATTATTGTTGAAGTCTAAAACTCTCAAATTTAACCAGAGTTCTCTACATCCTCTACATCAGGGGTGTCCAAACTTTTTGCAAAGGGGGCCAGATTTGGTGTGTTAAAAATGTAAGGGGCCGACCTTGGTGAACGTTCTTTACATAGAACAGTAATATATTTAAACAAATTTCAGCAAGCCATTCTGTGTTTTACATTTGCTTTTTATTTTCATTTCAGCGACCTTAAGCATGTCTTTTGGTTCATTTGAAACATGCATATCATATGCAATTGAATATTCACTTAACTTCACTTTTTTTAACACTTTAACTTTTTCTAACGGTTAAACAGAAGTCATTGTACTCTTGTGGGCAAATTATATTTGAAACATAAAAACATATCTCACCATGGCAGTTCAACATTTACAGAATTTTTAAATAAAATAACAGAAAAATAACCAACTAATAGTCATATCAACAAGTGCAGGGCTCATTTGAAATATGACATATTAGTAAATGTTGATTAGATTTTTAAAAGTTTATTATTCTGGAGTGAAAACTGAAAACTTGTCTGAATTTATGACTTATTTTGATCCTAAAAAAACAAAAACAAAATTTATTCAGAGACTTATTGTAAATGACAAATGACTTGTCAGCATTAATGTGATACTGATATCTGGACTGCAGCACATAGGCCAGGTCTGGTTCAAAGGCAGCAGTATTGATGCGCAAGATGTCTGTAAGTGAGAGTCTGTTATTTAAATTCACAACCGAGAATGTCTTCACACAAATACGTCGACTAGGGTTGCAACCCATCCCGTAAAATATGGAACCGTCCCGTATTGAACTGAAACGGGACGCAATTTGTTCCGTTCTCTACAAACTTGTATGTGTAATAACAAAGAAGTACTTTATAAAGTAGGCTACCCCAGTCATTGTTTCACTCACGGTGTTGCGATATTGTGTGTCCAACTGCTTTCTGGGTAACACAGACCAACCGATATGCTGCTGCCGCAGTCTCCAATTCTAACACATCACTGTTTATTTAAGAAAGAACTGTAACTAAACCTTAAAAAAGATAACATGATTTACTTTTAAAAATGTTATTTCAGAAGTGGGGGTTAGTTTATTTATTTTATCAAGATAAAAAAAGCTTAGTTTTTAAAAACATTGATTTAATACATTTTATGGGATAAAGACAATTCAGACATAAAAAAAACAAATGGAACAAAGTGGAAAATCCTTCTCTAAAGTCCAAGCAGTGGCCTAACTGAAGTCTCACACCACATGTATCAGCTGACATTGCCACCAAAAAATATGGCTTTTTAAGTGTTTCAGCATGCAGTGGTGTCACAGTTAATCAAAACCTGCACCACCGCAATCATTATTTGCACCACCGCAATCATTATTTGCACCACCGCAATCATTATTTGCACCACCGCAATCATTATTTGCACCACCGCAATCAAAATCTGCACCACCGCAATCAAAAACTGCACCAACGTAATCATTATTTGCACCACCGCAATCATTATTTGCACCACCGTAATCATTATCAACACTAGCGCGACCACTATTGAAATTAACGCGATGAGTATTGAAATTCCCATGGTTGTATGTGCCAGAGGTTTCTCCATAGCAGTTGGGGTTACAAAAGCGACACGTACACAGACCTAAACAAAAGAAGAAATTTGAAATGTTACATTTACCTGTTTTTACTTAACATAGTTTATAGTAAGATTAAATTATCAATAAATTATAGGAAAGACTGGATGATCTTTTCAAAACAATGACCCTCTTTGCCCTAAATACCCTAAGAGAAAATAATTTTCCCTTCCCTTCTACGTGTAGCTCTGGAGGCACAGTTTGCAGACTTCTAATCTAAACCTGAATGAGCAACTGCATAACAGATTTAGTTGCTTGTGTTTATGTCACACATCCTAATGAGTCAAAGTTTTTTTTTTTACATATTTCGGTGTCTTTCATTTTGGCAGTAAGTCACAATCTTCGTTTGTTCAAATTGTGATGTAAAAAAGTGGTTAAAATATCACTCATTTGCCTTAATATTCTCTATGTTCGACATGTTTCTTAGTAAAAAAAAAAAAAAAGATAAGAATCCTCAAATGCAATTTTAGCTTCAGGGAAAATTCAGACTTACAAATTATGAGAACGGCGACGAAGATCACAACACAAGTAATCATAACATAGCGGCCAGAAGTCAGGTACTCTGGAATTGAAAGAACAAAACCAACAGCAGTGAACTTTAATTAAAGTTTTTATGCATACCATTGAAACTGAAAAAAAAGCAAACATATTTCAGAACTTCAGGTAATCTATTTGAGTTTTTCTCTAACTTTAGCAACTTCACTTGATTTATTTCTACATTTTCTTACATTTTTTTTAAATTTACAGTTTAATATTGCCTTAGATATAATGGAAGGCCACAGACAAAAACCATTTGTGTGTCTGTTCCATTGTACCTGCAGTATCCTTGATTCTATAATTGATATATTCTGATATTAGGCTCTCTTTTCGTCTGCTCACCCTAAAGATTATTATCAAGAAAGGATTATTCTGATGAATCATCTGTAATGAAGTCTGTCCAAATACATTGGCCAGGTAAGAACAGGAGTTATCACAGAAATAGCCCATAGGCCCACAGTAAAGCTTAGGAGCTGCAGAGAAAAATAAATAAATGAGGACCTTTGATGTTGATCAGATGTTACCTTGGGTGGATTTTGCAGGGTTATGTTGAGTCAGCATGTTAAAACTCTCAGCCTGATCCTCCTGTGCAGCCACAATATCTTGATGTTGGATGGAATATTCATGTGCTGATGTCAACAGACCTGGTGAAGAAAATGTTTGAAAACATCTTAGCATAAAATTATATTTTTGGAATTGCTACCAATGTGATTTTCACCCATCGAAGAGGAGAGAGAAAATGTAACTTCTGTTTAGGTCCACTGATTTAAGTTAACTTTTTCTTTATGTGAAACTGCAACAGCAAATCTGAGTAAAATCTACATGTATTAACACATA